GGTAGGTAGGTAGGTAGGTAGGTAGTAGTAGTAGTAGTAGTAGTAGTAGTAGTAGTAGTAGTAGTAGTAGTAGTAGTGCAGCAGTGGTAGTAGTAGTAGTAGTAGTAGTAGTAGTAGTAACAGTAGTAGTTTTAGTCGTCGTAGTCGTAGTCGTCGTATTATTAGTGGTAGAGATAGTAGTAGTAGTAGTAGTAGTAGTAGTAGTAGTAGTAGTAGTAGTAGTAGTAGTAGGGTAGTAGTAGTAGTAGTAGTAGTAGTAGTAATAGTGGTAGTCGTAGTAGTCGAAGTAGTCGTAGTAGTAGTAGTAGTAGTAGTAGTAGTAGTAGTAGTAGTAGTAGGTCGTAGTATTAGTAGCAGTAGCAGTAGCAGTTACGTAGTCGCTGTAGCAGTAGCGGGAAGGAGGGAGGAAGGTGAGGAGGAGGAAGGGGAGGAGGAGGAGGGGGAGGAGGAGGAGGATGAGGAGGAGGAGGGGGACGAGGGAATACAAGGGATGAGGAACAAGAAGAACAGAAGATGGGGGAGGAGGAGGAAGAGGATGAGGAGGAGGTGGGGAATGCGGAGGATGAGGTGGATAGGGGGGATAGCGGAGGAAGGGGGAGGAGGAGGAGGAGGGGGCGGGGGAGAAGGAGGAGGAGGAGGAGGAGGAGGAGCAGGAGCAGGAGTGAAGGAGAGGTAGCTGGAGCAAGAGGAGGAGGAAGAGGAAGAGGAGGAAGGAGGAGCAGGAGGAGGAGGCGGAGGGGGAGGCGGAGGGAGGAGGAGGAGGAGGAGGAGGAGGAGGAGGGGGAGAGGAGAAATAGGGGGGAGGAGGGGGGGAAGGGGGGAGGAGGAGGAGGACAAAGGGATAAGGAACAAAACGACGGTGAGGAGGAGGATGGTGCTGAAGAGGAGGATACGGCTGATGATACTGATGACGTTGGTGATGGTGATGACGAGGACGAAAAGGACGAGGAGGCGGAAGAGGAGTAGGAAGAGGAGGAAGCGGAGGAAGAGGATGAGTATGATAAGACGGAGGAGGAGGAGAAGGAGGAGGAGGAGGAGCAGGGGGGGAGGGAAGAGGGAGGAGGAGGAGGCAAAGGAGGAGGCGGGAGCAGGAAGCAGGGAGCAGGGATGGGGAGGAGGAGGAGGAGGCGGAGGAGGAGGAGGAAGGAGCAGGGAGGAGGAAAGAAAACGGAGGAGGAGGAAGCGGAGGAGGACGACGATGATGATGATGCTGATGGTGAAGAGGAGGCGGAGGGAGGAGACGGGCGGAGGAGGAGGGGGATAAGGGGGATAAGTTGGGGGAAGAGGGGGAGGAATAATAGGAGGGAGAGGGAGAAGAGGGTGCTGATGCCTATGATGATGATGATGATGATGATGATTGTGATGATGATGATGATGATGATGATGATGATGATGATGATGAGGATGAGGATGATGATGATGGTGATGGTAATGGTGATGGTGGTGATGATGATGATGATGAAGATGATGATGTTGATGATGATGATGATGATGATGATGATGATGATGATGATGATGATGGTGATGATGATGATGATGATGATGATGATGATGATGATGATGATGATGATGATGATGATGATGATGATGATGATGATGATGATGATCCCCCCGCCGAGGTAATTGAAGTGATCGGAGCAGGTCGAGAGCAGTCATCTCGCAGCCGCTGCTGGGATCCAGGCCAGCAGCAGAAGACGAGGCCTTCGGGTAAAGAGGCTTCCATAGTAGCAGCGGCAGTCGAACGCTATTGCATAGGTGACTGCTCAAACTATCATCCCGTTTCACAGAAAGCAGCGCGCAAGAGCACCGAACGATGCCATCACGTCAGAAGCCTGGCAAGGTTTGTGAATCAACAAATTGATGAGTTTGCCTTCCTTGCTCAGGCTCTGCGGGAGAAGACCGTCGAGGTACGCGAACGATGCCGCTCCAGAGGGCGCAACACCAGAGGCGAAGGACCCGGCCAACATTGGCAAGACAGGAAGCTCGCAACTTCTACCATCGAGCTCGTCGTCTTCGCCACGAACCTTCTTCCGAGGCGGGGACATCATATAATGCATTTCGCGGTGAGGAGCGGCAGCGCCTTCACGACGAGGAGCGGCAACACCTTCACGATCAGGCGCGGCAACACCTTCACGACGAGGAGCGGCAGCACCGACAACACCTTCACGGTGAGCAGCGGCACCTTCACGATGAGGAGCGGCACCTTCACGCTGAGCGGCACCTTCGCTATGAGGAGCGCCGCCTTCACGCACGATGAGGAGCGGCAGCACCTTCACAACGAGGAGCGGCACCATCTTCACGATGAGGAGCAGCAACACCATCACGACGATGAGCGGCGGCACCTTCGCGATGAAGATCGGCAGCGCCTTCGCGAGAATGAGCGGCGTCTTCGCGATGGGGAGCGGCATCTTCACATATGAAGCGGCACCTTCGATGAGGAGCAGCACCTTCACGATGAGGAGCGGCACCTTCACGATGAGGAGCGGCACCTTCACCTTCACGACGAGGAGCGGCACCTTCATTATGAGGAGCGGCTCCGATGAGGAGGAGGAGGAGGAGGAGGAAGAAGAAGAGGAGAAGGAGGAGGAGAGAGAAGAGGAGAAATACGAGGAGGAGGAGGAGGAGGAAGAGGAGGAGAAGGGAGGAGGGAGGAGGAGGGAGGACGAGGGAGGATGAACATGATGATGATGCTGATGATGATGATGAGGAGGAGGAGGAGGAGGAGGAAGAGGAAGGAGGAGGAAGGATGGAGGAGGGAGGGAGGAGGGCGAAGGGAGGGGGAGTAGGTAGGAGGAGGGTTGAAGGGAGGAGGAGTAGGGGAGGGGGGGGTTAGGAGGAGGAGGAGGAGGACGAGGAGAGGACGGGTAAATGATGAGGATGTCCTGATGATGATGTGATGATGATGATGCTGATGATGATGATGTTGAGGCGGAGGAGGAGGTGGAGGAGGAGGATGAGGAGTAGGGAGGAGGAGCGAGGAGGGAGGAGGGAGGAGGAGGGAGAAGGTTAGGAGAGGGGGGAGTGTGGGGAGGAGGAGGAGAGGATGGGGGAGGGAGGAGGAGGCGGAGGAGGAGGAGGAGGGAGGAGTAGACACGAGGGAGGAGGAGGTGAGAGGTAAGAGGAGGAGGAGGAGGAGGAGCAGGAGGAGGAGCAGGAGGAGGAGGAGGATTGCCAAGCTCGCTATAGGTTTATAGGGTACCTAAGCCCATCTTTCAGGCTTTGGCAGCTGTTGCCAAAATCTTAAAGTCTAGTGGAGGGCAGAAGCCCGGAGCCAGAGGCTGGGGAGGGGGTAAGCCCGCGGCGTAGCCTTTTGTCTGGCCCGAGTCCACGGGCAGGGAGGGGAAAAAGGAAGAGGGGAAAGGGAAGAAAGGATTTTGCAATCTGTTCTGGGTTTCCGGCGGGGTCGTTGGTTATTTTTTTTTTTGGTCCCGACCTAGGCTGGGGTCTCTCAAGGCCGGAAGGGAAACAACCCTAACGACCTCCCGACATGTTGGGCAGCCCGTATCCCATCCCCCTCCCCTTCCTCCCCCCCTTGTGCCAGGAGGGAAAGGTTGATGGGGATAGGCCGAGCTGGCCAGGCGCCTCGGCGGCGCACCTGCAAAGCAAGAGTGGGGCCCTCGTGTAACCACACTCGGTGTGGATGCTCCGACGGAGGTCCAATCAGGAACTACCCAAACAAGCCCCCCCCCATGTACTGTCGCGCAGCGCCCCTGGTCCAGGCGCCTTGGCAGCGCCCTCCGCACCAGAAATATGGGCCCTCGTGGAACCACACTCTGTGTGGATAGTCCCGACCGGGGCGTCTCTTACGACCAAGGGGAACAGCCCTGACGACCCCCCTGACCATCCAGTGTTTCCTCGAGGCCCCTGTGCTGACGGCCTGACTGTGCGGTTGAAATGTTCTCGCGCACGATTGCGCGTAAAACGCCGAGCAGAACGACAAAACCGAGGTTTCAAGATTTCCGTCAGAAAAGAGACACTTCCTGAAAACATGGGTTTCGGCAGAAAACCAATGAGTCAAGGAGCCTCAGGAGGGAGGACGAGAGGAGGAGGCTGCGGAAGAGAGGGAGGGGGAGGCTTCACGAAGGCCATCTTAGTATGCAAAGGCCGCGAGACTCGGCAAAGAGGAACAAAAAAAACGCCAAGGAGAGGGAAGACGAGGTTGATACCAAAAGCCAATCCCCCGGTCGCCCCCCCCCTTGACCGCTGTTGCGGCCAGGGGGGACTCCTCGGGTCACCCTGAGACGCCTGGTTCAACATCGAGCACCGGCCCCCCGGCTCACACAAAGGACCAAGCAGGAGGAGGAGGAGGAGGTGAAGGCAGAGGAGGATACCGAAGACCGATCCCTTGGTCGCCCCCCATTGACCGCTCTTGCGGCCAGGGGGTTGCTCACGGGGCATAACTCATTGCCGAGAGTCAAGTCCCTGGTCTCCCCTCTTTGACCACTCCTGCTGATGGCCTGTAAGGGGACATCAACCGTTGAGCGCCTCCCGATGCATGCTGACTGACGGCACCCATACCCCCAGAAAAAGAAAGAGGAGAAGGAGAAAAAGAAACAGAGAGAGAAAGAGAAAAAGGGGCCACACTTTGTTGTGGCATGCTGGGGCTCTCACCAAACGGGGATGGCCACCGAACTCTCCAAGGAATGATGACAAAATGGCGTGTGAGTTCAATTCTTCGCTACACAATTTCGGCCACGTTCGCAGGACAGCCCTCTTGAGGGCTGATCCATGGCCGAACGTGTATTCAGAGATGCGGGGGGGTGTTAATACATCGTCCCCGCACTGGTGTAGCAAGTTCCACTCTCGCGAGCGCATGCTGGACATGTGTGCGATGCATTTTCTCCGCTGACCTACTCATATACATCAACACCGGCTCACATGTTTGACACGCTCGAAACTGACAGCTCCGACTGGGGGTCTCTTAGGGCTAGAGGGGAACAGCCCTAACGACCCCCCCTATGACCTACCTGTTGGGCAGCGCCCCTGGTCCAAGCGCCTCGGCGGCGGCCTCCGCAACAGAAGGTTGGCCCCTCGCGGAGCCACACTCGGAGCGGACAGTCTGGACTGGGGGGTCTCGTAGGGCCAAAGGGGAACAGCCCTGACGACCCCCCGGTGACCTGTGATGTACTCCCTTGAATTCCGAGGCGCTGTAACCCTGGAGTTCCCCCCGAGGCACTGACCCTGGAGTTCCCCCCACGACTCTCCTCACAACAACTTGTCTTGGCGTGCCCATGGTAGCCCCCCTGAGAGTTTCCTTTGGGGGGAAACGCACGTTCCTGGCCGAACTCGGTGGTTCTACTTTCTTGCGCCCACCCAACGGCCCTCAGAGAAGCCTCGGCCCGACCGGGGGGGCTCTTCAGGACCAAAGGGGGGGGCCACAGCCCGAACGACCCCCCCAATAACCTGCGGGGCCGCGCCCCTGGTCCAGGCGCCTTTTCAGCTCCGCAGCAGAGGACGGGGTCCTCGTGGAGCCCCACTGGGAGCGGAGAGCTCCGACTGGGGGATCTCTTAGGGCCAAAGGGGAGGCCCAAACGCCCCCCCTGTGACCTGTGGGGCAGCACCCCTGGTCCAGGCGCTTCGGCGGCGCACCTCTGCAGCAGTCCAGTGGGGCACACCCGGAGCGGGTATCCCCGACCGGGGGGCTCTTAGTGCCAGCGGGGAACAACCCAGACGATCCCTCCCGGAAATGTTAGGCAGCGCTCCCTGTCGAATGCGCGGGCACGCATGGAGTCGCTCTCGGGGTGGACAGTCCCGATTGGGTCTCTCAGGGCCAAAGGGGAACAGCCCTAGCGACCCCCCTGACCTGTGGGGCAACGCCCCTGGCCTGGGCGGAGGGGTCAGACCCCCCCTGCCCCTTCCCAATTTCGGCAATCCTGGAGATCGGCGAATTGGGAAATGTGTTGGAACCGTTAGTAGCGGGTGGTAGGGTGGCCAGTGCCCCCCTACCACCCTAAGCCCTCCCACCGCGTCAAGGTGGTTCCTTGGGAGGGAGGAGGAGGGAGGAGGGAAGAAGGAGGAGGGGGAGCAGGAGGAGGGACGAGGGAGGGGGCAGGAGGGATGAGGGAGGAGGGAGGAAGGAGGGAAGAGGAGGAGGAGGAGGAGGAGGAGGAGGAGGAGGAGGAGAAGGGAGGAAAAGAGGAGGAGGAAGAGGGTAGAGAGAGGAGGGAGGGAGTGGAGGCTGTGGAAGAGGAAGAGGAGGGAGGAACGGGAAGAGTAACAGGCGAGGGGAAGGAGGATGATGATGGGAGGATCATGTGAGGAGGAGGAAGAGTAGGCGGAGGAGGAGGACGGGGTGGAAAGGAAAGGAGGAGGAGGAAGAAGGAGGAGGAGCAGGAGGAGGAGGAAAAGTTCGGTGATGAGGAGGCGTGAGGATGGAGGAAAGGAGGAGGGGAAGGAATAGGAGGATGAGGAGGAGGAGGAGGAGGAGACGAGAGAGGAGTGTGGCATGAGGGGAGGAGGGTAAGAGAGGGAAGGAGGAGGAGGAGGAGGGAGGAGGAGGAGGAGGAGAGGAAGCGGAGGAGGAGGGAGGAGGGAGGGGAGGGGAGGACGAAGATTGAAGAGGAGGAGGAGGAGGAGGAGGAGGAGGAGGAGGACGGAGGACGAGGAGACGGAAAGTGGAGAAGGAAGGAGGAGGGAGGAGGAAGGAACAGGGAGGACGAGGAGGACGGGTAGGAGGGAAAAGACAGGAGACCCAAGTGGAGGAAGTGGAGGAGGAGGAGGAGGAGGAGGAGGAGGAGGAGGAGGGAAGAGGAGGGGGGAGGAGGGAGGAGAAAACGGAGGGAAGAGGAGGAGGAAGAGGAGGAGAAAGAGGAGGAAGGAGGAGGAGAACGGCGGGACGAGGAACACGGGGGGGCGTCGCCCGACGAGGGCGGCGAGCAGCGGCAAGTCGGCCGCGCGGGGCAGGGAAGCCGAACGGGCCTTCGGCGTGAAGTCGAACGGCTCGGGGCTGACTTCCAGCTTGCCCCAGCGGTCCACCACCAGCCTGCGGCTCCATCCCCCCTTCTCTCCTCCTCCTCCTCCTCCTCCTCCTCCTCCTCCTCCTCCTCCTCTTCCCCGCCCCTCTGCCGTCGGCCTCCTGCTCGGCCTCGCGCAGCTGTCCCTTTTCCGCTGCTACGGCGTCGGCGGCGCGGGCGCCTGCCCGGCCGCCGAGAGCGGCGCGCCCGCTGGCGACGGCGAGGCTCGTCGCCTCGTCCTCCACAACTAAGCCGTGAGAGGTTGTGGGTGTGCGACCGCAGTGATGTGGGGAGCCCCCCTCCCCCTCCCCGGAACATCGGTGTCGGCTCCGTGTCGTGCGTGCGGGCGGAACGAAGCTGCGTGGGCGGGCGAGAGGAATGACCCTTCCTCTGGCTAGGGCGCAACGAGGGCAAAGGTCCACCCCACCTCGGCCGCGGGGAGTGCGGTGGCCGCGGGGTGTCCCGCCGTGGTGACCCGATGGTGTGCCGTGGTGTCCCGTGGTGACGTGTGGCGG